TAAACCCAAGTTTAACAATTTATAGAAAACTTCAAAAAAGTGCAACAAATTTTCACCTAAGTTTCAAACTTTTTTCTCGGAAGTGTTAGATTTTTTTCGAGTACACAGTTTTTAGCCCCTGCAATTTTAGTCTGATAATGTGCAAATTTCAAGTAGGTACAAAGTACCGTTAATTTTTTAGAATTTTTTTTGTCGCATTGGCTTCCATATAATGAATAAACTCAATTTATTTGTATATGGAGGAAACCCGCAACACCTTTGGAGAAAAAAATTCTAAAAAATCAACGGTAACTTTCGGTCACTTGAAACTTGCACATTATCAGACTAAAATTCATTGGTCTATAAAACTGTGTATTCAGAAAAATTCAAACACTTCTGAGAAAAAAGTTTGAAATTTAGGTGAAAATTTGTTGCACTTTTTTGAAGTTTTCTACAAATTGTTAAACTTGGATTTATATGGGGTTTGTTAGAGAAAGAACTGTATTTTAATTGAAAATTCTCAAAAATAAATAAATAAACATAAGTTGCGCACAATATCACTTTGAAATGGCGTGCTATAGATATGACCGATACTGTATAACGAAGTTCCAATTTTGTTTTTGTTAAAAAACTGATGGGTTTTTATAAACATATGATCTCTAATTTTATCAAATAAAGTTTAACTGCTAAATTATAAAACAAACTTTTTTTGTCATAAGATTTTACAGAATTTAAATGATTTAGCAGGATTCTAGCGATTTTTGTTTATTAATCTGGCGGGACGGCAGAAACAGAAATGGCAACACTGGTGGTGATTACCGACTTGCTTGCGCGCATATTAGCTGTTTTGTAATTCACTTTTGCATTGTCAGCGTTTAGTTGGTCGCAAATTTTCAAAGGGAGGGGTTGTTCTTGCGCAGATAATTTTCCGTTAGAAATTTGCTTGGAAAAAAGGACAATCATGCGCAAAACAACCTTTTTATATGACGGTTTTCTACCGACTGAGCCTAGTAGCAGCGCTCGGATCTCTTATTTACGAACACATGCGCAAGCAAGATCGTTAACACGTTATTGTTCGCCGGTATGAATTAGCACATACTATTTTTTACATATGTATAATCAATAATAACTTTATTGATTTATTAATAAAAAAAATTAAATTGGTCGGCATTTCATGATGTTGAATTATTTTTAATAAATAGACTACAAATATAGTTAGAAATTGTTCCTCTATAAACAAAGAGGTGAATATAATAGCCGTTGGCAATATACATTGCATAAAATGGGTTAATACACGTACACGGCTATTACTTACCCTTTCGGTTTTAAATTTTTACCCCGCATCAAGCACCTGCTTGCCCGCGCTGCTGCGCGCGAGCTGTTCTGCCGCCCATCCCTAGTCTAAGGAATTAATCAATATTTATTAAAAATTGATATATACAATCGCTATATAGCAAAAAATTGGCCCACTTATATCCCATATGTCTGGGAAGTTGGCATACGGTGTAACGCAAAACGACAAAAAAATGTTGTTCTGAGTAGCCTTCCAATAGCTCTAGAGTTCCTGAAAAGGAAACAAAAAGTTCTGCAAAATTACGCCGAAAAAATTCGTTTCGAAAAAGTCGAAAAAGTTAGATATTTGAAAAAATAAAAATTATAACTGTTCTGAGTAGCTTTTCAAAAGTTATAGTGTTCTTGAGAAGGGAAAAGAAAGTTATGGAAAAATACGACGAAAAAAAATTTATTTTCGAAAAAGTTGAAATGTTCTGGATATTTTGACAAAATTTTATTTTATTTTTTTCAAAAATTGTGTATGCCAGATTCACGTAGCATACGACATATGGCAAAAAGGCAAATAAAAAATTCTGCTGAGCATCTTTTCAATAGTTCTAGGGTTATAGTCCCTGAAAAGGAAACAAAAAGTTCTGCAAAATTACGCCAAAAAAAGTTAAATTTTTGAAAAAATAAAAATTAGAACTATTCTGAGTAGCGTTTCAAAAGTTAAGAAAGTTCTGCAAAATTACGCCGAAAAAAACATTTCTTTCGAAAAAGTCGAAAAAGTAGCTTTTCGAAAGTTATACAGTTCCTGAGAAGGAAAAAGGAAGTTCTGCAAAAGTACACCGATAAACCTTTTTCCAAAAAGTTGAAAAAGCTAAATTTTTGAAAAAAATAAAATTTAAAGCTGTTCTGAGTAGCTTTTCAAAAGTTCTAGAGTTCCTGAGAAGGAAAACGAAAGTTCTGCAAGATTGCGCCGGAAAAACATTTCTTTCGAAAAAGCGAAAAAGTTAAATTTTTGAAAAAAATAAAAATTAAAAGTGTTCTGAGTACCTTTTCGAAAGTTATACAGTTCCTGAGAAGGAAAAAGGAAGTTCTGCAAAATTAAGCAGCCTGAAAACCTTTTTCCAAAAGTTGAAAAGGCTAAATTTTTGAAAAAAATAAAATTTAATACTGTTCTGAGCAGCTTTTCAAAAGTTCTAGAGTTCCTGAGAAGGAAAAAGAAAATACTGCAAGATTACGCCGGAAAAAAACATTTCTTTCAAAAAAGCGAAAAAATAAATTTTGAAAAAAATAAAAATTTAAAACTTTTCTGAGTAGCTTTTTAAAAGTTCTAGAGTTCAGGAAAAGAAAGTTCTGCAAAATTACGCAGAAAAGTTTTTTGTTCAAAAAAGTAGAAATACTTGAATGTTTGGAAAAAAAAAATTAAAACTTTAAAGTGTTCTGAGTAGCTTTTTAGTAGTTCTAGAGTTCCTGAGAAGGAAAAAAAGTTATGCAAAATTACGCCGAAAAAAAGATTTTTTTTTTCGAAAAAGTCGAAAGTGTTAAATTTTTGGAAAAAATAAAAATTACTAGTGTTCTGGGTACCTTTTCGAAAGTTATACAGTTCCTGAGAAGCAAAAAGGAAGTTCTGCAAAATTACGCCGAAAAACCTTTTTCCAAAAAGTTGAAAAAGCTAAATTTTTGAAAAAAAAATAAAATTTAAAGCTGTTCTGAGTAGCTTTTCAAAAGTTCTAGAGTTCCTGAGAAGGGAAAAGAAAGTTCTGCAAGATTACGTCGGAAAAAATATTTCTTTCGAAAAAGCCGAAAAAGTTAAATTTTTGAAAAAAAAAATTAAAACTGTTCTGAGTAGCTTTTCAAAAGTTCTAGAGTTCAGGAAAGAAAGTTCTGCAAACTTACGCATAAAAAAAAGTTTTTTGTTCAAAAAAGTAGGAAAACTTTAATGTTTGAAAAAAAAAAACTTAAAGTGTTCTGAGTAGCTTTTCAGTAGTTCTAGAGTTCCTGAGAAGGAAAAAGAAAGTTATGCAAAATTACGCCGCAAAAAACATTTTTTTTTTCGAAAAAGTCGAAAGTGGTAAATTTAAAAAAAAAAATACAAATTAAAAGTGTTGTGAGTACCTTTTCAATAGTTCTAGAGTGCCTGAGAAGGAAACAGGAAGTTCTGCAATATTACGTAGATAGAAACATCAAAAAAAGTCGAAATAAGGAAATTTTCTGGTATGGATTTTTGTAGCCCTATTTTTAGTCTAATAAAATGCAAGCTTCAAAAAGCCAAAAAATACCGTCGGTTTTTGAGATTTTTTTTGTCTTCCATATAACGCATTAACAAAATCTACGGTAATTTCTTGCTATTTTAAACTTGCACTATATTAAACGACTAAATTGAATGGGCTACAAAACTGCGTTCCCAAAAATTTTCTAAAAATTCGAATTAAAAAGTTTGAAATTTCGATGAAGTTTTTTGAAGTTTGATTAAATTTTTGGTGAAATTTGTGCAAGCTTTGAAACTTTTATTCATGTGTTGAAAATATTTCTGATAAAAAGGAAGGAAATTAGAGGTTTGAAATTCCAAAAAAATTAAAAAATGTCGATGGGCAGACTGTTTACTTGTACATTATTTCTTTAATAAATAAAACACACTAAATTTACTTTTCGAGTTTAAATTTTTTTATTCTGATGAAATGGACAATCGGTTATAATGTACAATTTGACGCGGTCCCGTGGAGTCCAGTATAATCCGATTGCATTGTATATGTAAATCTCTCCCATTGTTTTGGAATCCACCACAATTTTTAAGGCTTATCTACCACGAAAAACATGTTACAGCCCGCACACTGGCTCTAGCGCATTCTTTGGGGTGGCTCACAAACATAAATATATTCCGGCCTCTAAACAAATCGCGGTTTCCTCAACTAGTATTTGATAACTATGACTACACCACAGGGGCATTCCCGATATTTTGCAAAGCCGTTGCACGTAGCACGGATTGCTTATTTTTCAAACACACAACAACAAAATACATGGGAAACAACATTTCCTATCGCCGCAAAATATGCAACGTCGAAACCCATGTATATATTTTGCAAAAAAGCATAGAAAGACAAATGCGACCCTATGCTAGTTGTTTTGCTGTTGAAATTGCTACATATTTCTCTCATTCCTCTCATTTCGCTCACCGCATTGTTTTGCTGCATTTTGTTATTATATTTGGCACAGAATTTCGCTGCTTGCTACCTATGCGTGTTACCATTTTGCTATGGGAGGCCCTCGTAGTCTTGCGAATTTGGAATAGTATTTTTGCATTTCATAAAATCCGTGCTATTTACAAGACTTCGAGAATACCCCTCTTGTGTGGAGAGAAAGCGTATCTGCATTACCAGACCTCAATAACACCCTTTTATGAACCATACGTTAAGTTGAATTTTGTTAATATTTACCATATTGTTTATTTGTTGTTTTGTTAATATTTAAAAAACCATTCAGCTAAATTAAAGATTTGGTTCAACCTAGATGAATATCAGAAGGTTTAATATATTTAGTTATAATTATCAAACTATGGTAATAGTTCCCAATCCTTGGTGACAGTTCCCAAGCATTGTCGAAGTTCGGGAACTAAATATCTTTAGTTGCCGAAGCTAACCTTTTTTCTGTATTTAAAAAAATATTTTAGGTACGCTAATCGAGATATAACATACATATATCCATGATACAAAAACTAAAAAAAAAAAACAAAAAGCGGTAAGAACGAACGAAAAAATTTAACTCATTTGTGCCTGTTTGACGACCAAGACGCACCCAAACTAATCAGTCTTATACGAAAACAAGTATTTGTTTGTTTCGGCTTGTTATGACTTTTAATTCAAAATATTTTCCATTTGCAGGTGAATGGCTTTGTCCTCGTTGCGTTGTTGAGGAAGTGAGCAAACCTACTGAAGCATTTGGTTTCGAGCAAGCGGAACGAGAGTATACATTACAACAATTTGGACAAATGGCAGACCAATTTAAAATGGATTATTTCCGCAAACCCGTTCATTTAGTACCAACTCATTTAGTTGAGCGCGAATTTTGGCGCATTGTTTCCTCAATCGATGAAGATGTAACTGTAGAATATGGAGCCGATTTACACACAATGGATCATGGTTCGGGTTTTCCTACGAAAAGCTCTTTATATTTATTGCCTGGTGACCAGGAGTATGCTGAATCTAGTTGGAACTTGAATAATTTGCCTTTACTAGAAGACTCCATCTTGGGACATATCAATGCAGACATTAGTGGTATGAATGCACCATGGATGTATGTAGGAATGTGCTTCGCAGCTTTTTGTTGGCACAACGAAGATCATTGGAGTTATTCCATCAACTATTTGCACTGGGGAGAACCAAAAACTTGGTACGGTGTACCTGGCTTTTGGGCTGAACAATTTGAGGAGACAATGAAACAGGCAGCTCCTGAACTGTTTGCTTCGCAACCGGATTTGCTGCATCAGTTAGTCACCATAATGAATCCAAACATTTTAATGAATAACGGAGTACCTGTTTATCGAACAGATCAAAATGCCGGAGAATTTGTTATAACATTCCCCCGAGCATACCATGCTGGCTTCAATCAAGGATATAACTTTGCTGAGGCTGTCAATTTTGCGCCTGCTGACTGGCTGAAGATGGGACGCGAGTGTGTTAATCATTATTCAATGTTGCGTCGTTTTTGCGTTTTCTCTCACGATGAACTTGTATGTAAGATGGCATTAGAACCTGCCAAATTGACATTTGGAATTGCAACAGCTTGTTATATTGATATGGCAGAAATGGTAGACTCGGAAAAGAAACTCCGCAAATCTTTACTTGAGTGGGGAGTAACGCGTGCCGAGCGAAAAGCATTCGAACTAGTGCCAGACGACGAACGGCATTGCCATGAATGCAATACTACTTGCTTTTTATCAGCTGTCGCCTGTGAATGTACTAAGTCAATAGTTTGTCTTCGCCATTACACAGTTCTTTGCGACTGTTTGCCAGAAAAGCACACTCTTCTTTACAGATACACACTCGACGAAATGCCATTGATGCTGCAAAAACTTAAAGCCAAAGCGCAAAGCTTTGAACGGTGGTTGTCTAGATGTCGCGACATTGTTGACGCAAACACTCCTACTTCCGTACCATTAACTGAATTACAGGAGTTGTGCAAAGAAGCTGAACTTAAAAAATTCCCATCATCACTACTAATCGATCGATTAAATTCAGCCATAGTTGAAGCCGAGAAATGTGTGACCGTCATTCAACAATTAGGAATAAACAAGGTAAAACACTTACTTATATTTATATACAAGCCACATACAGTATAGTGCAAAACTGAGTAAGTGGTTAGCAAGACTTTTAATTACATTTTGTTTGTTATTTTTTTTATAAAAATACATATCTATATACACTATAGTTTTGGGAAATATTTGCAGTTTTTAAAGTTAAATTTTTTCAAACTTTGCATTTTTCTACAGAGCTTAGAAAAATGTTGAACTTTTTAATCTTGAATTTTCAGAAATTTATTGGGTATGCGCTTTTATACAATTTTAGTATGACAAAGTGCGGCTAAAAAATCCCGTTGATTTTTAATATTTTTTTTTTTGTGACGACTTTTGCGATTTTTTCATACAACAGGTGCAGTTTTTTAAATATGGCGTCAATTGTTTCAAATTTTCTTTGTAAACGGTCCTACGCATTTTTTCCATAAGAAATTCATGCTTATTTGGAAGAAAAAAATATTAAAAATCAACGCCGGTAGAAACTTGCATTTTATCATATTAGATAAATTTGTATGGGCTATAATACTGCATTCTCAATTTTTTTAAATTCAGATTAAGAAGTTCAAAATTTTATGAAAATTTGTTGAATTTTTCTATACTCTGTATAAAAATTTAAAGTTTGATTTATATGAATTTGGTTAAAGCTTGTCCATATTGAAAAAAATAAATAAATAACAAAAAAAAAATTGTAACTTTAAAAACCTTGCAAATATTTCACAAAAACCGCCATGTACTCTGTTTTGCACTATAGTGTATGTATGTATTAGACGTTTCTGCGTTTCCTAGCTAAATTAAAAATTCTTACTAAAAGAGAAAAAATTAATGGAGTAGAAGCGAGGTATTTCAACAGTAGTGTAAGCAATTTGCTGTTCTATTCACATATTCTTGCAGTTATAGCTGTATTATCGCCGGTGTGTTCAACATGCGAATTATGATTGCTGTGCCTAAAAATATGCAGTAAAATATTTATTTTAAGCACTTCAATGGTGCCAACTGTAATGGTAAGAACCCCCTAAGCGACACGATTTTGGCATTTTTTTAGTGGAAGGTGTTGCTCATTTTCTCCATACAAAAAATAATTGTCGAATATACTTTGTATGGAAGAACTTGCGTGAAGAAAATACCAAAAATCAACGCGATTTTCTAGCGACTTCAAGCTTGCACTTTGTTATACTAAATTTGAATGGGCTATAAAATTGCATACTTAGAATTTTTCTAAAAAATCTGAATAAAAAGTTGCAAATTAATGTGCAAATTTAATGAATTTTCCTGAGTTTTGCACAAGGTTTAGAGATTTTATTATCATGTTTTCTGGTGTAGAATGAGCAATATTTTTATAAGTCGAAAATAAATTAGAATAAAACATTTTGCATTTATTGCGAAAAATTCACTGTTCCAATACTTCTGTTCGGCACTGTATGTATGAATTTCTTTAAATGAAATTAATTTAGTATAATATCCAACTAGGCCAAAGAAGCTCATCAAAATTAATAAAAATTAATTTAGAATTTTTCTTCTTGGCCCAAGGTTGGAAGTTTAATGCTATTGCATTCGGAGCTTTTTGGCCGGTTATATTAAATGAAACAAGTGTTTACTTTTCTCCTACGCGTTTCGACGCATATTCGCGCCTTCTTCAGGGAGTCTGTATATTTATAAATACGAAAAACATATTAATATCATCCAATTATTACAAAGAACAAATAAGACAATAAAAACAGTTTTAGCCTTATTACACTTACATTAATATTAAACAATAAAATTATCATAATATAAATTAAACATATCGCACACCCAGATCATAAGTGCGATGAACTAACAAAAAATAAATAAAAAAATTATGGCGACTTTTTTGCATAAATCAATTCATAGGACTTACATTCAATTAATGCGAATATTTTTTTCTTCATGACTATATACAGTGACGAACAAAAGTATTGGCACAGTGAATTTTTCGCAATATATGCAAAGTTTTTTATTCTAATTTATTTTCGATAATTTTTTATAAAAATATGGTTCATTTTACACCAGAAAAATGTACAGCCGTCGTTGCGTGCGGACGTGTTTTTTATCACTCTCGGATTTCGAATATTTGCTAATGGGTTCCATAACTTTATTAGTGTCAAAAAGATTACTTAAACTTAATGAAGCTTTGTCTATGTTCGTGCATAATTTTTGAGACCGTGACTCTTGTATATTATAAGCAAATAACGAAAAGAGACGTTCCTATTAAAAATGCCTTGCTGCTGTAACCATAAAGTTGAGCGTTCGCAACCAAAAATCCAGTGCGCAAAGTGCAATGAACTATTTCATTTGGAATGTGTGAATATTTTGCCGGCAGACGCTGAGTTCCTGCTTAACTCAGAGAGGCCTTTTCTGTGCAAATGCTCGGCGATATTCTATTCGCTCCCCGCCTCCTCCTGTTATTCTTAACGAGAGTGTTGTTGCTACTAATGCCATTGCTTCGGATTCCTCTAGCAAAGAAATCGGTGCCCATCGTAATAACAACCTCCCACAGCAGCACAAAGCTCCTAAAAGTGCCTTGCCTAACCAGCTAACTAGTACAGCAATAAGTGATACCACTAGTGAGTCCAACAACAAGCAGCAGGTATCATTGGTTTCGATTTTCAATGCAATCGTCTCTCTACGTGCTGAGAATGCTCGTATGCATAATCTCATTTCAACTCTTCATGAAAATAATAATAAATTAACAAACAAGGCGGACAGCATGCATTCGGATCTCTTACATATGCAGCGTAGCCTTCGGGAAAAAGATGATGCTATAAAATCACTCACAATGGAAATCAAAGATCTACGTGCTACTGTTAGTGCTGCTTTTGTGAAGGTACGTAGCCAAAAAGAAGCGAATTACGAAAATGGTGCACTTATTGATGTTAGTACCACTAACAATTCTGCGATCATGTCGCGCATGGAAGCCAAAACTAAGGCTAAATCCTCTGTAGTTGCTAATAATGCCCTCGCTGTCTCTACTGTTGTCTCTGGTGCTTCTGATAAAAATGTGTACACTCATGCTGGCTCGGTGCTGCCAACGAATGTTACACACACTTCCACATATACTGAAATGCCTGCTGTCTCTGTTGCCGCTGGTACTGCTGTTAAAAATGTGTATACTCATGCCGGTTCGGCGTTGCCAATGAACGCTGCGCACACACACACATATGCTGATATGTTAAAGACGACTGCTGATATCTCGACAGCGAATGTTACACACTCGTTGGCGCCTGCTGTTAGCTCTGCAGAGATCAAAAATGCACAGTGGTCTACTGTTAAGAATAAAAGGGGTAAAAAACCAGTAAGGGTTGTTGGTACAAACATTAGCAAAGACTTGGACGTGGCTGTCCGATATAAGTGGTTACATCTAGCGTCGTTCTCGCCATCTGTTTCGGAAGAAAATATAATAAACTATGTTTCCAATCAGGCGGGTTTGAACAAAGATATATTAGTATGCTATAAACTAGTTAAAAAAGATGTGGAAATTTCAAGTCTAAAGCGTGTAAACTTCAAGCTGGGAGTGCCGGAGACAATGTTTTCGAATTTGCTTAGTTCGGAAATCTGGCCCACTAACGTGACGGTCAAACCTTTTCGGTTTTTTCCAAAGGACCAACAACAGCCGCTTCAGACATAGTTAATTCTCCTCCTTTTGCTAATAGCTTAAGGGTATATTTCCAAAATATGTCTGGCATGCGAACAAAAGCTGATATCGTGCATTCTTTTACTGCGCAGATGGATTACGACGTCTATGTACTTGTTGAGACGTGGTTAACCTCAAACTTTTTTGATGCTGAATTCTTCGATGCTAACCTCTTCAACGTCTTTCGTAAAGACAGGGATGCTGTAAAAACTGGTTGCCAAAGAGGTGGCGGTGTAATCGTTGCTGTCAAGCGCGAACTACGCGCGCTCCTGATCTCTCTAGCTAATGATGATTCACTTCTGGATCAACTTTGCGTCAATATTAGTGGCAACTCTTCAAAAGAATCCCTGTATGTAGTAACCTCATATATACCACCAGGAAGCTCATATGAGTTATACAAAGCACATGCTGATAACATTTCATCATTAGTTTTAAATAATTTGCGTGATAACCATTTATGTGTTCTGGGAGATTTTAATTTATCCAATATTAATTGGGTTAGCAGTGAGTCATGCCCTAGTCTCATAGCTCATAATATGGTTGCCAATCATGAACTATATTTAGTAGATAGTATTTTGAGTCTTAACTTGAAGCAAATTAATAGTTTTGCTAACGAATTAAACAGAATATTAGATCTTATTTTTGTCAGTGATAACTTGAATTACCGAATTTGCGACTGTATTAACCCAATTACAGCTACGGATAAACATCATATTCCACTAGTTATAAAGTTAGACTTTTATTGTTTTTCCGCTATTAAGGACAACAAATTGTCATTTAATTACTCATTATGCGATTTTTTTAGTTTTAATGAACTATTGTCGAACATTAACTGGGATGATTTGTTTACTAACCTAGACACTGCATACTGTTTTTCTATATTTAAGTCAATCTTATATGAACTCTGCCTGGATAAAATACCGGTTAAAAAGAAAAAGCCTTATAAATTGCCCTGGTATTCAAAAGACTTAAAAAAGCTAAAAAACCTTAAAAACAAATTCTATAAAAAATTTAAAACTTCCGGAAATCATGTTTACTTCGTTAAGTATCAGCATTACTTAAAGAAGATTGATTCTTTAAATAAGACTCTTTATAGTAACTATGTTCGTGACACTGAGTTGAATATTAAATCTAACCCCAAATTGTTCTGGAACTACGTGAAATCTAAGAAAGGATGCTCCAGCTTACCCACAGGAATATTTCTTGGTGATAAAGCTGCGGAGACGCCAAGTGATGCCGCAAATTTGTTTGCTGAATATTTTGGGTCGAATTTCGTTCAGAATGACGTTACATCTGCAGAATTTTCTAATATCTCCTCGTCTCTCAACTTTGGCTCATTAATTCTCTCATCTGAAGACATAAGTAATGGTATAATTAAACTAAGACCCTCTACACATGTGGATGTTGATGGCCTATCTGCAACTTTAATCAAAAATTGTCCAGCATTAGTTTATCCCTTGAAGTTAATTTTTAATAAATCATTATCTTCAGGTACTTTTATTGATGATTGGAAGCTTACGACGGTAATGCCCGTTTTTAAAAATGGTAACAGAAGTGACGTACGTAATTATAGACCTATTTCTAAGCTTTCCGCTATTTCGAAAATCTTTGAACACACAGTCAATGCCAAATTGAATTTTGCAGTTAAATCTATTATCTCCCCATATCAGCATGGGTTTGTCGCTGGTAGATCTACTGTCTCCAATCTCGCTGTTTTCAGTGAATATTGTTTCGAGTCTTTTTCGTTAGGTTTTCAAGTTGACTGTATTTATACAGACTTCTCAAAAGCGTTTGACAGAGTGTCACATAGTATATTAATTCAAAAGCTTGCTTGCATTGGCTTTCATTCTATTTTTCTGCGTTGGTTGGAGTCGTACTTGTGTAACAGACGGTGTGTTGTCTCAATTGACGGGGCTACTTCTTGCCCGTTCGTTCCATCTTCTGGAGTGCCACAGGGTAGTGTCTTAGGTCCACTTCTTTTTATACTTTTCATCAATGACATTAGTAGTTGTTTTTCTTTTGCAAAATTTCTGCTTTATGCGGACGATTTAAAAGTTTTCTCTGTAATTAAAAACACATCTGATGCAATTAGGCTCCAAGATGATATTGATAAGCTTCATTTGTGGTGTCTGAAGTCACGCCTTTCCTTGAACATTAGTAAATGTTTTCAACTAACGTACTCTAAAATATCCAATTCTCTGCTTACCAGCTATCATATATCGGCTAATGATCTAAATCGTGCAGATGAGATAAAAGACCTTGGCGTAGTGTTCGATGATCGATTTTCTTTCAATAAACACATTAGCTATGTAACTGCAAAGGCGTATTCTGTTCTAGGCTTTGTAAGACGCAATGCCTCAAAATTCTCGGATCCTTATACATTCAAGTTACTGTATTCGTCATTTGTTCGGTCACATCTCGAATATGCGGTTTTTATTTGGAGGCCGTATAATCAGAATGCTATAAACAGGGTTGAACGTGTTCAAAAAATTTTTCTCAAGTTTGCTCTTCGCTGTCTGAACTTTTCAGACCCCGTGCCGTCATATTCTTCACGTCTTATGCTTCTGAATCTCAAGTCCTTAGAAAGTCGCAGGTCTGTCTTATGTCTTTCGTTTACATATAATATTATTAAAGGTATTGTTGATTGTCCGTTTTTGTTAGAGAGGATAAGATTTAATGTCCCCAGGCGATCCCTTAGAAATTTCCTTCCGTTTTATGGTTGTAATGTTAGAACCCAATACGCCAGTAATGCCCCGATTTATCGCGCCATTCGTGAATTTAATGCCATGAATAATGTAGTCGAGGTAGACTTTTCAATCCCAAAGACAGCTTTTTTAAATCTTTTGAATTCCTATTTTTAGCTTTATGAATTATTTTTAGTAGTTCTAATTAATGTTGTACCCTTCTAGTCTGTAATGTTATTATAAAACCATAGACTAAATAAATAAATAAATAAATAAATAAAACATAATAATAAAATCTCTAAACTTTGTGCAAAACTCAGGAAAATTCATTAAAAATGCACACTAATTTGAAACTTTTTATTCAGATTTTTTAGAAAAATTGTAAGTATGCAGTTTTATAGTTCATTCAATTTTAGTACGACAAAATGCAAGTTTAAAGTTGCTAGAAAATCGCATTGATTTTTGGTAATAGTCTATGGTCTTATTTGTTCTTTGTAATAATTATTTGGTATTAATATGTTTTTCGTATTTATAAATATACAGACTCTCTGAAGAAAGCGCGAATATGCGTCGAAACGCATAGGAGAAAAGTAAACACTAGTTTTATTTAATATAACCGGCCAAATAGCTCCCCAGTATGGAAAGAAACTACAGTATATTTTGCTTTGCTGCCTTTGAGCCTAAGTGCACATATAAGATGCGTACCCTAAAATGCGCATCACCGGCATAATTTTTAATATTTATAAGGAAACTGATCCGATAGATGCATTCAACATATCTGCACATTAGCGATACCTGCCTTAAAAATTTGCCACTATTATCAACTTATCAAAGAAATTATTACGTTTACCTGCACTGGTTCTACGCTTACCCTAATTTTACAAGCTTTTATTTATTTTGCTCATCTCGCAGAACAACGAAAAAGGCTATAAGTTTATGTTATCTCTATATCGATAATTAGATACCATCCGGAAAAAATTTCGTTTGCAGTAATTTCTACGTGGTAAGTGCTCCTCCATTATTTGGTTCATAGGGATTCGGATACCTTCCTCATTGAAGTAGTAAAGAAAATTCGTGAAAAAGTGCTTTTTTCGGTTAAGCGCACAACTTTTTCGTGCAAAGAAGGATGGGCAGCTAATCTGACTGATCTGATGAAGATCTGACTTTCTTCCTTGGAACGAACTGTTGACTCTAAAATGGCGATGTCCTAGGCATCAGTCAATTATCCGACCTGCATTTGATTTCAACTTTTTTAAAACACATTTGGCTTAAAGCACTTTAAAGTGAGTCGTTTGATCACGCTTTCGTTCTGCACTTCACAGATGATTTTTCATAAGAAAAACCGAAATTAAAAATTTTCAAAATAAAAATAGCCGCGACCAATAGTAGCAAATATCTTTGCACGCTCTGCTACAGCCATGCATGTAATGTGTTTTCAAATGCTCAGTTTGAATTGTGTGCAAGCAGCAAGTCGATTGTCCGACTCTGCATTTGATTTCAACTACTTTAAAATGCATTTGGCTTAGAGCAATGCAAAGTCTGCATGTTTCTTTTACAGATGATTTTTCATGCTGAAATAGTTAAGTGCCCACAGTTAGATGATTTTACAACTAATATTGAACTATTTGCAAAGATATGTAGCAAAAGTGTAAGCATTTGGTTTATCCCAATGAGGCTGCTAGATGATTATACATCAATTTGAAGTTAGTTGCTGCATAAGCAGAAATAAACTAAGTTTTCTGAGATACTGCCATACTGGATCCATATACAATAGCATGAAATTAATTGCTATGTATGTACTATACATACACTATAGTGCAAAACTGAGTCAGGGTGGTTTGTGTTAAATTTTTGCAAGGGTTTTAAAGATTATTTATTTTTTTTTAAGGAAAATATGGTTCATGCTTTAACCAAAACCATATAAATTAAACCTTCAATTCTTATACATAGCTTTAGAAAATGTTTGTCTAAAAGATACGTAGGTAGATGTGGCTGCCACTGATGCTCAGGGACACACATAGGCCATGAAATGAAGGCCCGTTGTGATACCACGACTAAGAGTTTTCACTCCCCCATGCTAAACCATTTAGAATCCTTGACGAACCTCGCCAGGAATCAAGGGTTTAAATCTCACAATTAGTCAAGGTCATTAAAGGAAGGAGGCCCCAGAAAGCGCAGTCTGCTTCTCGATAATGCCGGGCATTTACAGAGAAGGTGAAGAATGGTCTCCTCCGCCTCATAATTCTTGCAACTTCTGCAGCATCTATGGTAAGGCACTTCAAGTCGTACTGGCAGTGACCCGTTAGAGCACCGATTGTATGAGATTTATCCTCCCTCTTTAGAGAGTATACACTTCGAGACATTTTTCGATCCCACCTAGGCCAAGTTTGCTTAGAAATTCGGCAGCTCGTAGTTTGCATCCATCTCTCGCTCGCGCGAGCGTAGATACATTCACTTAAAAGCGTTCACGTGGCGAAGGGCATACCAATGCGTTCTTTATCCGGAATAATCTGCTTGGTCGAGATCCGGCAGTCTGAACGTAAGATCTACTGAGAGTTTCTGACAGTAGACACCTCCTCCAACTCTACCTTCCAGCTTCGATCCGCCATGAAGATGAACCTCTTCTTCAGAGACTACCCTTCTCCCATTCGTCCCTTGGAGGGATGTGCGTCTAGGAGTATCATTTTGGGGCCAGCCTCGGGTGACTCCGGTGCATTTCTTTCGGCAGTAAGTCGAAGCTTTCGAGAATTGTCGAGTGCCCATGCGCTGGGTTGAAAGAGAACCCAGAGCTTTTGAGCCTAATGGCTGAGCGAACCGCCGCTACTTTGCCCGCAATGTCGACAGGTGCGATATTGAGCATAGCGTTTAGCGCTAGAGTAGGAGTCGTCCGGAACGCCCCGCTGATTCCAACGAGGGCCGCCCTTTGCACGCTCTCTAGCTTCCTAACATGAGTGGTCTTTTCCAATGTACTCCACCAGACAATGACCCCATATAACATTATTGGCTTAATAATGGTTTCATATAGCTAGTGCATCACCTTTGCGGAGATGCCCCATCTCTTCCCCATGGCATTCTTGCAGCAGTAGAGACCCACCGATGCCTTCTTCACCCGTTCCTCAATATTTGGTTTCCATGACAACTTCCCCTCCAGGAGCACGCCCAATAACTTGACCCCGTCAGAGAGAACAAGTGGAACACCCCCTATTGAGGGGATCTGGGCATGAGGCGTTTTGTACCTCCTGGTAAAGAGAACGAGCTCCGTCTTTCCAGGAATGACAGCAAGTCCGCGGCTAGCGGACCAATTTGTGACCATGTTTAGGTACCCTTGCATTAGATCGTACAGAGTGTCCAAGAACTTTCCTCTAACGATGAGTGCCACGTCATCCGCGTAGGCAATAACCCGGCATTCTCTCCTTTTCAACTCCTCCAGGACGTCGTTCATCACGACTATCCAGGGAAAGGGTGAAAGAACGCCTCCCTGCGAGTGTCGCTGCTCAGAGGCGATGCCCCATTCCGCTGTGACAGTTCTGCCTTGCAGCATATGTGAGAGGAAGCTTACTAAGTAGCTCTCGACTCCGAGCTTAGTAAGGGCTCTTACTATCGCCCCGGGTAGGACATTATTGTAAGCCCCCTCGATATCACGGACTCCTCTATGACTTTGGCAATTCTGTTTCTTATGTGCAGGTCAATCAGTTTCCCAGTAGTCTTCAATACGAAAGATGAGAGACTGATTGGTCTGAGGTCCCTCGGGGATACATGAGATTTCTTTCCTGCTTTGGAGATGAACGTAACTCTTACACTCCTCCAAGCCCCGGGATGTACCCTCTTTCTAAGCAGCTCGCATAGATAGGGGTGAGCCAGCGGCACGAGACCTCCACAGCCTTTTGCAGCTGCGCAAGAATGATGCCATCCGGTCCAGGAGACTTGAAAGGCTTGAAAGAGTCAATTGCCCAGAGCAGTCGGCGCCTCTCCAGTAGTTCACCGGAGGAGGCGCCCGTTCCAACACCGGTGGGCTCACACGGTGCAGAAATTTTTTCGTCCCTCAAGTATCCCAAGGGTACGGGATTCCTAGCGAGGATTCGCCTAAATCGAGATGATTCATTACGACCTTCTACGGCTTCGCAGAAATTTCTCCATGACTCACTATTGGGCTTTCTTATCTCGGACTTATAGATGCCCAGTCCCATCTTATAGAGTTCCACCGTCCACCAGTTTGGTTGGACGTTGCCCCCGGGCCTACTCAGCGGGCATGAGCTTTCGATGGCACTCTTACAAGCTGATGTAAACTTCTCCACCATAACATTAATCTAGCCCTCGGTGCTTAAGCTCTCCTGGGGGGCCTCTGGGAGTAGTTCCCGCAGTTTTTTCTCTTTGACACCATGTCTGAAATCCCACGTGATCTGTCAAATACTAATGCATGAAAATCCTAACCTCAAAAAAATCACCCGTTATATATGTATGCGTACATGGAATAAAGAAATTTGAGCAAAAATTAGCGAAATGTTCATAAAAATTTTAAATATTTTTTAGGGTATGGAATTTTGTGGCATAAGAAATTTTAGTACAATAAAATGCAAGTTTGAAGTAGCTAGGTTGATTTTTGGCAATTTCTTGTTCGAGAATTTTTTTGTATGGAGAAACTGAGCAACGCTTTCAACAAAAAGAATTGCCAAAATTCAACTGTATTTTTCGAACACTTCGCAAGTGTCAACAGTAATTTGCGAGCTCTGAAGAAATCATAAGCAAACACAAAATACCAATTGACTGTCGTTGCTGCCCGCTTGCAGAAGCTAGAAATTTCTCATTTTTCGACTGCGACTGCCGACAACTTGCAAAAGCAAAGATATTGCTTATTCATCGACTTGCGCCGCTGACCAAAATCAGAATGAAATCAAAATGAAAATTTTCAAACCAACGACTGCCAGCAGCTCTGCGCATTTTGTCGGCAATCAGTTTTTGCTTGAACTTCGACTGCGACTGTTAAACCAACGACTGCCAGCAGCTCTGCGCATTTTGTCGGCAATCAGTTTTTGCTTGAACTTCGACTGCGACTGTAAACCGTACTTGTCCATGCGTATGCGCAATTTGCGAATAAGTATTCTGCTGGCTTCACGATGTCTACATAGTCCGAAGCATAGCAAGCAAAATTTATATGATAACTTCATTAAGTTTTTTAAACACTGAGG